TGTGACTGTTCTGTATCTGTACAGAATGTGTGTTTCAATCAATACAGTAATTGATTAAAATCACAATCGCGTGTTTAATTAAATGCCTTTTCTGATTCACAATCTGAAAATGAAAACCGCGGTAAAGTCACAGCTGCACTGGTCAGCGGCCTGCCTAAACCCCACCCTGACCACTTCCACTCCTGTCCTGCCCCTCACCGCATACCCCAGCCGGGCGCTCTTCAGTTGCCCCCCAGTGAGAATGCGCAACACTGCCCCCACCTGAGACGTCTGGCGTCCCGCTGACATTGAATAGCCTGCTTATGTCCAGCACACAATCCTGCAGCCTCTGCGGCACCTGGCGAGTGCACCCGCTGCGTTAGGGTGGAGTCTGGTGGTAAAAACACCTCCTAGAGTTGTGAGAACACTTGCTTTGTGTATAAAGTACATTGTGAATGTTTTCACAGCCTTCACTTTGTCGTTTTTATGCCATTTTTTTTACCACACACGAATATTCCTATGTCCGTATCTTCGCAAGGGAATCAGTGTGAATTTTAATACTTATTAAATGACCGCGGGCACTTTCCACCCCCTCTACATTCTCAGAGTAGAACAGACTAACCTTCTAATGAAAGATGGTCCACCCCCCCCAAGGAGAGGAAAAGTGCCCACAGGCACTAAAACTTAATATGGTCAGTAACAGTAAACAGTAACATGGTCAGAAGGAGCACGTACAAACGTTTCCAAAATAACCACATGTAATACTCTGATGCTTAAAATGTTTGGGGAAAGAGTGGAATACTGGTGTGTATTTTTTCTTTAAACTACCAAGACCAGCCATACACAGTACAGTTTACATACAGTAATGTTTATGTTCCTAAATTTATATAGTTTTTGACCTTCAGATGCGTTATGCTCCTCTTCTTTTTATGCTCAGCTACTAAAATTTTCCTTTAGCGGTAAAATTCCATATAAATATTTAATACTAAGCGGATTAAAATGTGCACAGTAAAGAGATTAAATGATTAAATCTTTTCACTACCAACCAATGCACCACAAGTGCCCCTGTCGGTCATTTTGGCTAGCCAATCACTTACCGCGGTGCCCTGCAGTGGCTTGTGGGTAGTTTACCATAACACGGGTTTGTACCGTGCATTTTGAATGGCTGCATCTGTAATTCGCCACTTTCAGAGTCATGAGCTTCTATTCCCTGTCCTATTTACCAGTGAATGAACATTTTTAATCGAGCTTGGTCACACTTATACTATGCTTGTTTTGGGCAAGGAGATGAAGCAGGCCATCAAGACACACAAAACTCCTTGAGCATGATGATGCACTTCGAGAGACTGTTGCCAGTGATACCAATGAGGCTCTGGCTTCATTAGATGATTCTCACGGAGGGCACACTAAGCCAATCCTGGATACAAAAGGGGCTGTAGTTATTTATAATTCCAATGACAGTCTTCCCTTGCTTTATTTTTTAGACCTGTTTTGTTCCGCTTTAGCCCTTTGAATGTTAGTGATAGTACTTATGTACAGAACATTTTGCACTATATCTTACACAAAGTTAACAGATAAAAGCCTTTCAAACAATTTGCCTGAATCAAATGTGTTCACTGTGATTATTTCACTGCAGGTACCATTTTTGTTGCCTCAAGCACCTCAGGATTACCTTGTTGACAGGGTCTTGTCTTGACAAATACATGTGGCATTCATGGAATCACTTGTAAAGTAAAAACTGAGGAGACTGTTTTTATATTTTTTCAGACTCAGTCTCATTCTGTAAGCCTGCTTTTTCTTGAGTCTTTTCTAATAGAGCTTCTGGTACTTGTGTTCTTATTTTGTCTGTTCATTTTTAATCAGTTTTCATAAGATCTTTGTACATTTGTTCTGTTTCATTTTCATCCAATGGTATTCTATAGCTGTGGTGCCTTTCACAGGCATTTTTAGTAATTGAATGTACAGGTTAACAAGAAACATCACATTGTGTATAGTCAATTAGTTAACATTGCAATTACAGTCAGGGGTCCATAGCCTAAGCAATCCACACAATCTCATGGCCTTTGAGTTGTAGCATACCTATAATTAGTTACAGTATGTACACATTCCATTTCTGTAAAATAATTTACACCAACACAACATCTGAAGCAAGACATTGCACAGGATGTGAAACAGACATTTTGGCTGTGGAGCCTTCTTCAGGTGTAAGGGAGAGAGGGAAACCAGGATTTGATGAAGCATGGAAGAACAAAACTGGAGTGAGAACTGGAAGAGAAGTATGAAGTCAAAACCTGGAAATGAATAGACAGGATTAGAAGGAAATGAGTCTGTTGTTAAGAGAAGGAAGAAGGTGTGATCCTAGTTTCAGGATTATTTTGGTTTCGGATATCTTTCTACAATAGGAATTCTAAAACCCCTCTGTAAGGAAGCAGAAGGAGAGATCATGGATTTTAGAGATGAAATGAAAACTATGGGTCTGGAGCGATCAAAATGAGAAACTATGGGTATGGAGAGTTCTTTGATCCTCACATCCCTGACATCTTCCCTAAAATGGTCTCCCAGTCTCCTTCTTGTCTTACCAATGTAAATAACTAGGCATTTTCTGTAAAAGGTGCAGTAAATAAGGTTGCTGTAAATACATGACGTTATTTGGGTGATCCAGAATTATCCAGAGGGGCCTTAAATATTTGTAGTACTGGATATACAGTATTTAAAGGTGATGCAGTCAGTTCTGTTGCAGGGGAAAGTGCCTGATGTAGTCAAATAAAAGGGTACCAGTGGAGGGATCATCCTGTAAAATGGAGAAGTTCTCAATAATGCTCTTGAGAAAAGAAAGGGGTGTTAGGGTGGTAGGGAAGCACCAATGGATTGGGGTTGTGAGTCAGGGAGTTTGGGTTGATGATCGTAGGGCTATTTTTGGCTCGGGAGAGGGCACTGTCAATAACATGGGTGGGGTATCCTCTGTTTTTAGTATTTGCAAGGTTTAAGATACAGGAGATAACTGTGTGAATCTGTGTTTGTAATAGACAGAAGTAAAGAGTCATGGATAATTAATGGATAGGTATTTATCCAGAGTAGGAAGAGTAGCCTAAATATTGCCAGCCAACAATATTTTTGTCATTTGGGTAGAAGAATCCTTCTTTGCTTCCTACGCCGGCTTTGTCCCAGACTCTACAGGTGATACATTGATAACTGCATCAATGCCGCCAGATGCTCTAATGACCAAATAGAGCATTCCCTGTATTATTTAACCAACTTCCACCCATCCCTTGTACTTGATTGAAAACAAATTCTACATTATCTGAATAACATTTTGAAAATATTTATTTATCCAGAGATAAACCCACCCAATTGTCTTACACCAGTTGGTGGGGAATTTATACATTTTTTACCTAATGATTCATATATCATGATCGTATTATAACGATTTTGGGTTTGGATAGGACGAACACAAAGACTCAGACTTGTGGAGTTAAAACTGCGCTTTACTTCTTCTCCATCAACCACCTGCCAGCTAGCTCTCCCGCATCCAGACAAGCGAGAGACACACCAAGAGCACCAGCCAGACAGACCACGAGCCCCAGAGAGCAAGAGCGAGAGAGAAAAGAGAGAGAGTAACACCAGGGGTGTGGAACCAGGGACTATTTACATGGAAAATAGGCGATCTCGCCAGACTGTACGCCATTTTCACTGTGGGACAGCAGCACTGGTCAGCGGCCTGCCTAAACCCCACCCTGATCACTTCCAGTCCTGTTCTGCCCCTCACCGCATACCCCAGCCAGGCGCACTCTGGTTGCCCCCCAGTGAGAATGCGCTACACTGCCCCCACCTGAGACGTCTGGTGTCCCGCTGACATTGAATAGCCTGCTTACGTCCAGCACACAATCCTGCAGCCTCTGCGGCACCCGGCGAGTGCACCCGCTGCGTCGGGGTGGAGTCTGGCGGTCCACCACTTCAGCCCCCCCCAGCCTGGTGAAATCTGGACTTGGTCTGCACCCTCACATTCAAGCGCCCCCCTTGTGAGCCCTGAAGCGGGCCAAGCGGTCTCGGTGCAGGACCACCACCCTCCCTCACTTCCCAAACCGGACACGGTAGCAGACCACCGCGACTTCAGGACCTCCCCGGGTCTCTCCCATGTTGGCGCCAGCTTCGGGCTGAGGCCCTTGTGGCACCGCGTGTTGGTCCCACTCGCAAATTGGCCTGGCTGGCTGTGCCAGCACTCCTCCCAGTGGCGAATTGAATGCCAAAAGCACCGGGGTGCACAGCTCTCGGCCCAGCATGAGCAAGGACAGGGTGCACTCGGTGGGCGAGGGGTAAGTGGCGGTCCCAGTCCCGCTGGCACCGCGAAACCAGGGTGGCCAGTTGAGTGGAGAGCGTCCGGTTAAAATGTTCCACCAACCCATCGCTCTGGGTGTGCAGCGGGGTGGTCCGCATTTTCTTAATCCCCAGGCGCTGGCACCCGGGACTCGAAATTCCGCCCCTGGTCGCTGCGGAGCTCTTCTGGCACCCCCAGTCTGACAAACATCCCCTCCAGCAGGATGTCGGTAATGGTGGATGCACTCTGATCTGGTAGGGCGTACGCCTCGGGTCACTTCGTAAAATAATCCATCGCCACCAGGACGTAGCGGTTGCCCGCCTTGGTGCGTGGAAATGGGCCCAGCACGTCCACCCCGACCCGCTCCACGGGCACCCCCACCTGATGTTGCTGGAGGAGCACCCTTGAGCACCCGGGCGGACCCTTCTGGGCCATGCAAACCGTGCACGTCTGGCAGAACCGCTCCACGTCCCAGTGACAGAGACCCCAGTCGAAGTGGCCCTGGAGTTGCCACAGGGTTTTCGAAGAGCCGAAGTGCCCCATGCTGGAGAACCGCCCCGCGGAGCGACCACGGCACCACAAACTGCCACCTTACTTCGCCGCTGGAGGGCACCTGCCACCCCCGGTACAGCACCTCGTCCCTCACCTCCAAGGCCTCCCACAGTGCGCAAAGCGCCTTCACAGACTTGAGGTGAGGGGCGAGCTCCTACTGCGCGGGCAGGGTCCCAGCCGCCTTCCAGCGGAGCACCGGCCCGATGTTGGGGTCTGCCTCCACCATGGCTCCGGCAGGCCCCGGCGACGCCCGGTGCTGCCACCTCCGCTTCCCGCTCCGGTCAGCCCACATGCCCTGGACACCTCCCGCCCTGCCCGCCGCAAGACTGATTTGTTCTCCCTGCCCACCAACTCTTGCCGGCCCAAGTCAAGACAACCACCCACCTGCTGCAACCAGTCCAACCCCAGGATACAGTCTTCGTGGACTGGGGTGAGGTAGAAGGGGTGTTTCACCCTCGTAGCCCCAAACTGCACGGTGAGCGCCCGCTTGTCGAGGACCTCGGCGCACTGCCCTATCACCGTCCTCTGCCTCAGGCTGGAGGTTTCCCCATCCTGGGGGTCCGGCTGCCTTGGTGCCCGGCAGGACATCAGGCCACAGCAGGGTGATGGTCGAACCGGTGTCGACGAGGGCCTGGAAGGGTCTGCCCTCGATGAGGCAGGGAAGGAATAAGCCCCAGCTATGGCTTCCCACAGCAGCAGACGGGGTGAAGCGCTCCTTCTGGCTTTCCGGAGCGGGGGTAGCATTGGTCAAAGGTGGCCTAAAGGCGGCCCGTTTCCCGACGGCCTCCGGAGTCCCCGGGGCTCCAGCGCCCGGCACTCTTGGGCAATGTGCCCCCTCTCCCCATAGCGGTGGCAGATGTCGTCGTTGCTCCCCCGGCGTCACCGCACTGGCCATCTCCTCCTCCCCATCTGATGCCTGGCAGGGAGTGACCCTCCGTTGGTGCCCACCGGTCTCCTCGAATAAGAATACGAGAGAGCGAGAGAGAAAAGAGAGAGAGTAACACCCAGGGGTGTGGAACCAGGGAACTATTTACAAACGGGCGATCTCCCGAGACTGTACGCCCGTTTCACTGTGGGACAGCTGCACTGGTCAGCGGCCTTCCTAAACCCCGCCCTGACCACTTCCACTCCTGTCCTGCCCCTCACTGCGTACCCAAGCCGGGCGCTCTTCGGCTGCCCCCCGGGGCGAATGCGCTACACTATCACATATCAAGTAAAAAAATGATAAGTAGAGTGTTTGGTGTTGCTTCCAGTTTTTCTGTAATTGTTGTGCTGTAAAACTTGTCCATAGATTTAGAGGGTCTAAACTGACACTAACTTCCATATTCTTAGAATACATTACCAAGATATGATTGAATGTTTGATGATGCTGTGCTGTAGAAATTCCCTACAATAAATTAAAATAAAGAAAGTAAGTTTTCTTAAAATAATGCTCAAGTTACCTAGCCTGAATCTGGTCTCCAAGACTGATTAAAACAAGGATGATAGCGCAGCTCATGCCTTGGGGAAGATGATTTTTTCTCTGTCTTGAATTCCTTTGCAGCCTTTTTTTCTCTTTGTGTTTTTCCTGTGTTTTTTCTGTATCCCATCCCTATGGAGACTGGTTAACAACCTCCCTAGGAATGTCATTTGTTTATTCTTTGCTAATTTAAATTACTTCTTATCCCACAGACATGCATGGCAATATGATTATTATAAACTAGATTAAACCTAATAAAAATACATTTTATATCTTAAATATGCATGCCATCTTTTCTAAAACTATGAAAAATCTGTAATAAAATCTAATTTAATGATATTACAAAACAAAATGAGATTACAAGGAGATTTACAATGTACATATTGTGCAATGGCCATGAATGTGTTTCTAAAAGAGTTCAATCTTTGATTATTTGAAACCATCATATGATTTTTTCATATGAAACAAGTCAAGGGTGACTAGCTGTCCTTTGTGACTGATATTATTCTACATTTCACAGTCATTTATGGTCATATTTAACTATAATCCTAATGTTCCCTTGCTGCTAATATAATGACTTGCTATAAATAATGACTATTGTCTAAAAAAGGGGATATTACCATAATAACATTAAAATAGTTAACAATAAACATTTTCCACAATCAAAAGTATATTAAAGGCTTTAAAACAGTAAGAATAAAAACTGATTCAAAATGGTTTTGAGGCATACGCCTCATTTTTTAAGAATGGCCAGAGTATGTTCTTGTTCTGCAGCATAAAATGGTGTTAGGAGAGATCCCCAATATTTCCTTCATCAAATGCTGAACTTAAAATAATATTTTCTTTTCAGAACAACATGACACTGAAAATAAGCTACATTTATTTTTTTTTCTATTTCCTATGTAGAAATTGTAATTGTGCAAAAAACTGAAAATGGCTCTGCAGCAGGAGATTTAGTTGCAGCCCAGGTGCAGGATCAGGGATTCAGCAATGGATCTAATACAGGCTGATGATTAGAAGCCCTGCCAAAGTAAAAGGTGAGCAAAAAGAAAAGAAAAGAAAAAAATAAAAAGGGGTACATGGCTCCCAGTCGAAATAAAGAAAAGAGAAGCTGACAAGTCGGCGCAGACAAGGGAAAAAATTAAAACAGAGTTTTAAAATAAGAAAATAGCAAAGTTATAGTCTAAACTAGAAGAGGAATGTGATTACCAGATTCACAATTTTAGCTCTAATAACACTGGAGATTCAGCATTCTAAACAGACTAAAATAGAGAGATGTGACCGGGAAATCGATCAAGAGCCTAATTGAAAGATCGAAGGTTTGAAAGAGTTCCTGAGCTAGTTTGACAGGTTGAGTGCTCGTGGAAATGTTGCTGTTGTCAGGGGCAACAGCAGGACGTGAGTCAGTACGAGCCCGGTCATTACATAAATATATCGTATTTTCTGTTTCAGTTTTTGGACACGAAACACAAAATTTGCAACAATTTTAAATGCTTTATTTCATCCAGTGCCGAAACTGAAAAGAGAACACAAGACACAGAATGTTATTTAAAGTCAATATATATATCCACCAAGCCCGTCTACAATTTATTAGTGACATGGCCTTCTCCTGTTATGCCCTAAAGCTATGGAACTCTATCCCCAAGGATACCAGGGAGTCACCTTCATTAAACGTCTTCAAATCAAGACTCAAAACCTTCTTCTTTAGAAGAGCCTTCACTTAACTGGTTCAGTTCTTTACCTTGCTCCTACTATATTTAGTATCCCTATCTACTGTCTCCTGTGTATTCTCATTGTGCATATCTTGTGTAATTTTTGTTGTTTTATAAAGTGCTTTGAGAAGCCACCTTTGAAGGTGCTAAATAAAATCAAGTGTATTATTATTGTTAAAATTATATTCAAAGCTAACAGAAAGCAAAAGACTTAAAATCATATATTTTTTATTAGTACAGTACTACACTGAAAATAAACACATATCAAATTGGTGTCCCCGTGAAAGGACACCAGTCCTACCCTCAGAAAAACACCGGTCACCAATTCTATACCTAGGTGGAGTGGAGCAATTGTGATAAAGTACTGTATATTGGTCAAGGTACAATAGCAATGTCTGCAAAGGAGATTTGAACCCAAATCTGACCAGTCATGAGTTCTGAGAGTTATCCAGTACACCGCCTCCATAGTACAAAGGACAAATAATAAATATATATTTTTTTTTACTGTAAATGCTAAAAAGTGTTAATATATAAGGGATGTTCAATGGGGCGTTCATTATTTTTCAAGTATGGGGAAATTGTGACAACAGTTACAGGCAAGATAGCAGCTAAATTTGAAATCTTCTTCTAAATTTAGTCTTATTTAGTTAAAACATTTTACGGCATTATAAAATGTTTGGAATCTTCAGAAGGTAAATTAATTTGTGACCTTTTGATGTGTTTTGAAAAGCAAATAATTACTTTTGTACTTTTTGTGATTCTTTTGGCCATTTATAAACCAATTAAATTTGGGGCACAATGCCTAAAATCTCAAATTGATCAATGAACCACTGTTAACATGTGCATACATATTTCTAATTTCTCTAAAAATGTGTCAGCATCTGAGGAAATGCCAAAAAGGGGGGGGGGGATATATTGCATATACATTACCATACATGCATATCTACTATCCAAACAAATCTTACATATAATAAAAATAGCATATAATAATTGTAATGAAAACAATAAAGTGACAATCTACTGTAATTACTGTAATTAAAATCCAATTAGTTTAAGAATTATCTGTACAATCACTTTAACTCTCACTCATGTTTAAAAAATATTACAGGCCAGAACTGACCACAAACATAGGCCATCTGCTGTCACAGTAGTATAGTAGGCTACACTAATTTACTAGTAAACAAGATGGTGGTAGTGCTCTAAGACTTGGGCAAACTGAGCACTGTGTTCCAATTCATTTTCTGCGAACAATCTGAATGTGTGTTGTGACCCATTATAAATAATCCTGAGGTGAGTAGGTGTGGAAGAGGCCAGATTTAATTCCAGAATTCCAAAGAACAGACTTAACTGGGTTAAATGTAGCATGATGTTTTGCAAGATCAGCACTTAGGTCTAAAAATAAAAAGTGTGCTCAGTGTCCTCTGAAATATATAGAACAGAGTTTGCTGAAAAGCCAAAAATTGTTGTCCTTGTCACAGTATGAGCATTCTCAATATTAAAGTACATTGTTGCTTTCGCTTATTGGGTTCAGATGTCAGATCTAAAACATGTACCAATCTAATACAAAGGGTGAATCTACTTTTATGTTGCTGAATACCTTAGGGAAAAGTGAAAGCAACAAAAACTTTGTATTGCATATTTTCTCTAAAATGTATGTACTGTATGTCCTTCCTGATTATTAACAGGGTGTTCAATTTCTTTAAAATGTTTATTGTAGTCTGAGATTACAAAGTGCAACAATGTTACTTCAGATGCCAATGTCTGGTGCAAAGCTGCCATTTCAGATTTCATTCCCTGCAGAAATGTTGCTGGGTCTTTTTTTTTTTTAATTTGGATATTTCCATATAAACCACTTAACAGCATGTTTCACAGGAGGCCAATCTATCCTGAAAAAGATGAAAGGATGAGAGATGTGATGCATGAGGTTGAAGATGGTGGTTTCTCCCAGTTGGAAGCAAGCTCTGTAGGTCTTAGCGTTTCAAAAATATGGTTTTGTGTGTTGATCTTTGTCTTGGCTTTGGTATTTTGTTTTGACAGATTTTGAATGAAACTGCAAGTTAGAATTGCAATAATAGTAATATTAATAATAAAATGACAATATAGATGTTTTCTACATAATCAGTTGGCCATTATTAAATGAATAATGCAAGCAACCTTATAGTGCATAAATGATGCCTAGTGCATTTTTTGGCAGAACCAGGATTCTTCCATTTGTTTTTATTTAAGACGTGTAGCCATATTAAAATTTGGGATCAAAGAAAGCTGTTATTATTATAAAAAATGTTATCAAATCTTCATTATGTGTTTTACCACTGGTGTATTTTCAAGGAATACAGATACAGTAATTTGTCTCTGTCTTTGAACATGAGAAAATGATTACTCTATTCATAATACAAAATATTTTAATATAAAATATTTTTCCTAGCACCAATCTAATTTAATCATATACAGTTATCAAGTTATACTTATGGGTGAATCCCTTTTTGATCTTTTGTGCTGAAAACATAAGAAATACACTTCAATTTCAATTAAACAGGACTTCATCTCCATTCCATTTTCCCCACAATGTCAGCTTTTGTCTTGACAAAACTTTTTGGAGAGAAGTTGTGTGTGGGATTTCTTTTCTTATATTATATGAGTGATTCCCAGCACCACACCGTAGTTCTTGGTAGAGTAACTGTACTGTATATGTTATTATCTGAGATTCTGGATCACATCACAACCTTCAAAGGATAAAGCGGTCACTGAAAATGGATAAATGGATAGATAGAAGTTATGAATGACAATATTCAGTTAACATTTTCCTTTTATCCTCCCTGCTTTATTGTAAAATGTGAACATATTAAACCAATTCCCAGTTCCAGCTAGTGTAGCAAACTGTGTAGTACAATGCTGATATTTTAAATAAAAACAATGACATTTGTGTATTTTAACTATTATTATTTGTACAAGTCATAATAATGTACGATTTTAATAGACATATTGTATATATTGCAGTGATTTTTCAGTTATTAATTTAAGTACCACTAACTTTAAAATATGCCTGCAAGCTTTATAAACATGGATATTGTTACAGATACAAAAATGGACAATATCAGGAAATGACAAATCCTATTAATCATCAATAATTACCAATAAGTAAAATAAATAATCATAGCCTCCTACTTGTAAGGATTTTGAAAAGAATATACGTGACCATAGTTAGAGGCATGTGAGTTATTATTTCTTTAGCATAGCATTGGTGAAAAAAGTAATAATTCAGGCACACTTGGTTAAACAAATATCTATTAACAATGACAGAGAGTTATGTCTAGACCACCCAGAAAAACTCCAGTCTGCCATCAAATCTACTCTTAATAGAATACAACCTACAGTAAAGTTAAATCTCTCTGCAAACCTAGATGCCAAAAAAAAAAATGGTAACCTATCTCCCTATTCTAAAATACACCCACTAAGCAGGAGAGGGTATTTTAATTGAGGAACTCTTCACTCAGGAAATCCAAGTTCCCTGAAAACTACAGAAAATCAAACTCACTTAGTAAGGTTCAAATATTTAGCTCCAACTGGGTCTTTTCGGGTGATCCGAACAAGTACTGTACCTCTTGCCTAGCACAGTTCTATCCTCCTGTCTCCCTCTCTCTTGTGTTCTGTTTTTAATTCCTCTGTCTTGATCTGATCTTATATGGTGTCTTTCTGGTCTGTTGATTGTCACTTAATCGTTTACCCAGAACTTAATTAACTAAGGTAACCCAAGGTAAACTTTATGATTGCTTTGATGGACTCTGGACCTCCTACATTTAATCAAACAACCCCTTTGCTTTGAAACTGGAAATGGTTAAACTGCCAGGTGCTACACACTTTATCTAGATTCTTAGAGACATTACCTAGTCACCTACAGCTGTATCAATAATAACACAAAAAGGACATTTTATTTGGTCAATGTTTTTTTATATATTTTAAATAAAATATATATTTTTTAATAAAATCACTCAAGAAATGAGGGTTGCCTAAAAAACACAGAATAGCATGCTGTCTTAGAAAGATGCAAATACTTAGCTCCAATCTGGTCTTCCCTGGTGATCATGAACTAGGATCTCTTACCTGGCACATGCTTCATGTTCTGTCTCCTTCTCTTTCCTCCCTTCTTGTGATCTCACCCTCTTTTATCCTACATTTTGACTCTTAATCATTTACCCAGAACATAATTAAATAAGATAAACCAGAAGATCAGTGTGTCTCATACACAGCACCCTTGGTTTAAACATCCCTTGCTTTAAAGCTCTAGGAAATATTGACATTAGTTAGGTGTTAGCAATTCTATCTGTATTCTTAGAGACACCTCCATTGTCACCTACCTCGGCCTGTAACAGTATTTGCAATATTTTAATATTGATTGAATTGTTCTTTCAAAAGCTTGCCTCCAGGTTTTTGAATTGTGCATTCAGTGCATTATGCTTTTAAATTTCATAAAGCATTTAAAGACACCCCAATGTTAATATGATTAAACACATTAGCAAAACTCAGTGCACTGTCATATAGCAACGGCAACACTTTATTGCTTTCTATGTTTTTATTTCTTGCCAAAGGCAATTGTCCATAAAATGAAACCGCTTCTCCCACGAGATTTAAGGCACCAGTTTATCTTTTGCAAAAGTCCTTTTGAAGGTGTCATTTTAATTACTGTATTTCAAATATAGCTGAAAAACTGAATATGTAATCTCTTCTTTCAATCCTGTTGTATTCGATTGTGCTACATAAATAACAAGAGTTGTAAAACATTTTCAAAGAGCTGTCTTTTAGATAAAACAACTTGCTGATCTATTTTATAGTCATTTGAACACATCTTGCATAATAATTAACTTTGGAATGTATAAAGGAAGTGTTATAAGAAATTGCATCCCTGATGAAAGTGAAATATATTGCAATATACCAGAAAAATACGTGGACATACTGTATCTTTCAATATAATGTAAAATATATTTAGTTCAAATATATATACTAATCATTATATTTGAAATATAACAAAATATATATTTCCCATAATATATTTTATCAATCATATTTCCAAATATACAGTATGGTGTATAAGATATGCAATATACTGTGTCCCAGACCATTCACTTATTTGGCTTATCTATTTACTTATCTGGAAAAAGTTAAACACGATCTTCCACATTAACTAATTTATTTGAACTCACTATAAGTACTCTAAATAAGCAGGAAAGTAGAACAATTAATGTCTTCTATTTGGTTTTCAGATTCTATCACTTTATTGCATATATCTGTACATACAAATTTGTTCAAGTAGTTGTTGGCACAAAATTAAATCAAAGTAATTAAGATAACAGAATACAATCACGTTTTGGATAAACTATGGAATTTTTAGAATTTAAAAATTGCATAAAAACTTTACCTTACTATTTGTATTGCCCATAAAATGAAGATTTAACACTGAAATGAATTACTCACAACAATATATTAAATACATGTATATATTTTTTAATATTCTTTTAACATTTCTAAGAAACATCCTTTCATAATAGTTTAGGTGGGTAACTGCGTCAGCATGCCTAGGCTGCAAAGGAACAAGTAATAGGTTTATTCCATGCTGAAGAGAGAAGAACAAAACACAACATTAAAGCCGTGGAGCCTTCTTCAGGTGTGAGAAAGACAGGGCAGTAAGCAAAGGTAATGTAGCAGGAAAAAAAAAGGATGCTGAAGGTATCGATAGCATTAGCAATAATGGAGATTAGTAGTCATGTTCGGTTCTGTAAATCTGTTTGCACAGGCCAGTTATGTAGCTATTTCATTACCTCAACGCTGTTCCCTGTCACCACTACTACACACAAGAACTCCTGGGCCCCGTGACAGCAATCCCGCCCTGGGCCCCGCCCATTCCTTAAGACGACCCTGTCTGGAAGTTCCCCTGTGTTTTCTGTTCTTGAAGATTCACTGCATGCAGTACCGTCCTACAACTTGTCTCTATCATTTGACAAACAAAACTATGTCAATGCAGTAAGTATATAATGTAAATTATAGGTTTAAACATTCAAACCTATTACTATTAAGTTGAAATGCTCATGTTGTAAATATCAATTTTACAAAGAGCACCATAATTTAAAAAATACAAAGATTGTGCGCCTTTGGAAAATAAAATAAACATTTTATATTTTTATAGTCTCACCTGCTACTGCAATCCATAGTTCATTGAAACTTACATCTCGTTTCTTAGTGGATGAACTCTGCTTTACATACAATCCCATACCACATTGTACATAAGTGGACTGTTATTTCTCTTCAAAAACAAAATAAATTAACTATAAAACTACAGCTCTTCAACTGCAAGCAAAGTTTATTTTTAAAATTTATGTCACATTAAATAAAGTTAACCACCCTCCCCCATAAAGAATGGTTTAACCCTGCAGGTCAAGGTGTTGTGATTGGTTGAATCATGAATCGCTTAACGGTAATGTCTGGAAATTGACTTTGGGTGCGCTTTTCGAGAAACTGCAATCTTAAATATGGCAAAGTTTGCACTAGTTTCATGGATTGGAAAGGGAAAAGAGGGGCTAATAAGCACAATAAAGACCAGTTGGATTAATAACTTTGATGAGGCTGACAAGAAGGTGTATTTTGTTGAGTGGCATGAACTAGGGAAAAAGAAACCAGAGGAAGGATGGCTCTTGTATAAAGCTACAATACTGGAAGTGTAAGGTAAGAAATTAGCAATAAAGTAAATAATAACAATTTATATTAAATAGTCATTACTAATTAATTGTTAATTCCAGATTTACTTGTTTCAAGATAAAACAGTGGTACTGAAAGCACAATGGAAAACATGATGAATCTTGGAACAGCAGTAAATTATGTTTTGATTAAATATTTTATTCTTTAAAAAATTCAGTTACAGGTGGATTACACTTTGTTCATTTGTGGTATTAAATCTGATTTCCAGACAAGGAAACAATAACTTAAAAGTCTGGTAATAAAGAGTCTCATGTCGGACCAAAAGGAAAATCAAACAGTCAAAGTGGGCTAATCAAATGTGGAAGACTCTTAAGAACAAGCTCTCTTCCAGAGCTAAACAGGTACAAATTTTATTTGGAAATAAACACGTAAGGTGGAGCGCTGTTGCAATTATGTAATCATATGTTATTTCGTTAACATAACTCATAACAATAACATAACCAGAGATTACTTTATTAGCCATATACAATTTCTTGCATTAGAAATTTGTCTCTTTGCATACCCCATCTTGCCCTCCATGAGAGACACAGGCACACGGGGGGAGAGAGAAGCTTGGGGTCAGAGCGGAATGTCAGCCATTTATACAGCACCTCTGGAGCAGCTGGGGTTAAGGGCCTTGCTCAGGGGCCCAACAAAGTAGGATTTCTCTGCTAGATCCTTAGCCACAGTGCCATCGTTCCACAATATTATTACAGAAAACCAAAGAGAAACTTGTTGAAGAAGCTAAAAGAAAGGAAGCACGGGAAATAATTTCAATAAAAAGGAGAGTCCAAAACCAATCAGTGCACAGGAAAGTTCATTGTGAAAAAGAAACAGTGGCTGTTTTGTTTCTGAAAAGGTAAGCTACAATATAAGAACATTAATTAGCCTTAAGCCTTTTATTGAAAATGACAGTATGGAAGTACTCAGATTGTTTCATATAACTTTTTTAAGAAGACCATGGACAGAAAACCAATTTTTATTTACACAGGAATATACAGTAGTGTATCTGTTGATATCAAAACTTCCTCCCAAGAGTTGATTCACACAAAAGCAAACAGAACTTCCCAGCTTAGTTGTGCTGCCATTAGTATCCAGGTATGGGGTGGTGTCCTCTGATGGATGATAGATTACAGTTGATGCGCTTGAGTCAGCATCATAGTCAGAGTCTTGGTCACTTGGTTTAAACTCTAAATGATGCTTCCTTGGACGAACAGTCTCTGATGATGGGCTCCTTGACTTCTGTGGTGTCTTGACATCTTGACAGTCTTTTATGGAGGGTTGTTTCCTGTAGCGTAAAATGAACATTAAGACTGATTACCATGAGAGAACACTTAAAAACTTTAGAGTAGACACAGTACTAGATATCAAAGATGTGTATATTCAATATTTTAAACAGAACAACTTCATTTACCTGAGCAAAAAGTTCTGACATCAATTACATACAATTTAATTGCACACATGAAAAGTCGAGGTCAAAAGACGAGCCAATTGCCCAAACCTACCCATGGCTGTTTAGTGCTATCCTTATCTTTCAGTATTGGATCAACCTTTTGGCCATAGCAGACAGCTTTTCACAAGTGGGATACCTTGAGTTTCCCCTGTCCTGCATTTCATTATAGAATTAATTAAATTGTTAGAATTTGGCTGTCCAAGTGCATTCTCATTATTGCTGCAGTTAAATTATATATTTTCAGATGAAGTTATCATTGACTTTGAGTTTTTTCTCCCCAATATGCCTCATTCATTAATTCACTCGAAGAATTGAAATCATGCTTGACATGATGTTTCTGACTAAGTGGCATCTGAGCTCTTTGGACACACTACACCCATGTGCCATGCTGCAATGTTGCAGCTAAAAATAAAATTTGTGGACTTGCTCCAGCTCTGTATAAGTATAAACAACATACAGTAGTCTGGACTGCTTATTTTTATGATTTTCTGTGGAGTCTCATTTTGTGGTGTAGATGTGAGGGGCTGGCTCATCTGTTCCCCCGCAGGTTTTACAGCAGCTTCTGAAGTTGAGGGCAGCTCTGCACAAAAACATCAAGAATGCCAAGTCCAAGAATCATTTTCATACAGTAATTGTTCATAGAAATTTCTAAAGGTAAACAGTAAATAATGTTCAACAACATGTACAATCTGAATATTTAATCTGAGCACCATTAGAAATGTTGATCAAATATTCGTCAGTGACAATTAATCCCTGATGAAACTTGTAATGTATTTTTGCAAAACCAATTTATAATTTATTTGGATTTTATAATTTCATAAAAATAAATAATGTTCTTATTACTTTAGGTTAATAGATAACATTGTACAGGACTAAGACTAAAAAAATCAAATAATGAAATTTTAAAATAATTTTGAACCACAACAAATTGTACAACAAATGT